CATTGATGTTTCTATCTCTCTCCCTCTCCCTTCCTCTCTGAAATCAATAAAGAAATATATATATATATTTAAAAAGATGCAAATCCTATTCATCTAAGAATTCATTTTTTAAATATATATTTGTATTGATTTCAGAGAGGAAGAGAGAAATAGAAACCCAGGAATTGAGCCCACAACTGGGCATGTGCCCTGACCAGGAATGGAACCATGATCTCCTGGTTCATAGGTTGACACTCAGCCACTGAGCCACATCGGCTGGGCTAAGAATTCATTTTGATCTTGAGCCCTACAACATTGTTTTAATAATTTCCATTCTTCCATATGCACCCTTCTCTCTGTTTCCACGTGTGAAGCCTGGTCTCCCTCCCTTTAATGGTTTGGGAGGAGGGCCAACCCTGTAGGCCAAGCTGGGCGGGAGGGCTCCTCCAGGATGTGGGACTTGATCTAGACCCTGAACGAGGGGGAGGATTCAGATGAGTAAAGATCAGGTGTGTGTTGGGGGTGCGGTGGGGAAGGGGCGGGGCTTCCAATGGGAAAAGCCAGCCAGGAGGTATTGGGAAGTAAAAATGCGAAGAGTAAAGCTTTGGGTCAGGCAGACGTGGGTTTAAATACTAGAGCTGTAGGACCTCTGGTAAGTCACCGAATCCCTCCGAGCCTCAGGGTGTCCATCTGTAGAATGGACATTAAAAGATCTGCTTTCCCGGATGATGGTGAGGATAAAGGGAGATAACTTTGAAGGAAGAATCTGGAACGGTGTTTGGCACATGGTAGGATCTGAAAAATAAACACTGGTCCCTTGCCCTTCACTCCTGCACATGGACAAGTCCAGCTCAGAGGCCAGCATGTCACTCAGCAGTTCCACTGTGACAGAGCCGCAAGCATTACAGAGCTGGGGGTCTTTCCCTTGATCCTAGGAGTCACCCAGCCTGTCCTTGGACAACACTCTCTCCTCTGCAGAATTCCTGACCCATGGCTCTCAGCCTTAGCTCGCACACTCCACAGATGGGGGGCTCACGACCACTTTTTGGCACAGTCTGGGCAGCTCTGATCATTATAGAGCAGCGGTTCTCAACCTGTGGGTCACGACCCCTTTGGGGGTCGAACGACCCTTTCACAGGGGTCGCCTAAGACCATTGGAAAACACATAGATAATTACATATTGTTTTTGTGATTAATCACTATGCTTTAATTATGTTCAATTTGTAACAATGAAAATACATCCTGCATATCAGATATTTACATTACGATTCATAACAGTAGCAAAATTACAATTATGAAGTAGCAACGAAAATAATTTTATGGTTGGGGGTCACCACAACATGAGGAACTGTATTAAAGGGTCGGCATTAGGAAGGTTGAGAACCACTGTTATAGAGGCTTTTCTTAAAAGCCCGCCTCCTTGTAATTTCCATCAGTCAGAGTTCTGCTCACAGGGCCTCAGAGAATCCCTAGACTCCAGAATTCTATCACCAGTCCTCTGAGATTGGAAGCAGTAACTGAGGAGTTAGCTGGAGTCTGGATGGAAGGATTTGTCCTGGCAGTGGCTGAAGGAGAAGGGCCAGCAGAGGGGTGGGGATGGGTGTGGGCTGCGGGCAGGGGGCAGGCCTAGCCTTGCATATCCTGTGATGGGTCAGCTTCAGTCTGATGGCATCTCTCCCCTAACCCTGCCAAGGTTTTGTCCCAGCAGCTTCTGTCTAGCCAGGGTGGGGGCAGGGTGTCAAGCATAGGGGCTGCTCTTGTAATTGGCTGGGAAGGCAGGCCCAGGCCAGTTCTCCCACAGGCCCCCAGCCTGGCCCCTGAACCAGTCCCACTGGTGTAGGGCACTGTCAGGTGGGCTCTCGGCAGCAGCTCTCTTCTTCGGGAAGGCAGGCAGTGCCAGGCTCAGGCCGCAGGCCAAGAGCTGCTCAACAGGCAGCCCAACTTCCTCTCCTCTCGCACCGCCCTCTGCTGCCCGCCCTCCTCTGCCTGGCTCGGGGATGTTTTCCACTCGCTGGCGTGCATTCTCCATCCCGCTGTTTCCTCCTCTTTTTGGAGTTAAACTTTCCTGAGGGCTCCCCCAGCTGTGCAGAAGAAAGTGAAAGAGAGTTCTTGGAGGGGATGGTCAACAGAAGGCACTTCGGTGGAACAGCCCCACCCCAGCAGGCCCCACGCTCCCAAGTCTGAGCGCCACTCAGAGAGCCCAGCCACAAGGAGGCCAAAGCCACTCTGCCGTGCCTGTCTGCCGCTGGTCCCAGGTAAGGAAGGTCCCCTCCCTGGGGTGTGCCCGGTGACAGGTGAGCAGGGCAGGGCCAATCTGAGGCTGCCCAGAGGGATTGTCTTGGAGAGAGGCCCCTAGCTGAGGCATCCCCT